CAAATATGAGCTGTGGCAGTTTATACCTCTCAATATGTAAAGAAAGGACATCAATTCAGAATTCCCTGTTAACACCAATACGCAACCTCACCTAAGGGCTAATCCTAACATTGAATCGGAATGCAAGTCAGTAATGTAAGGAATGAACACATAAATCAAAAAATGTGTTATTTTGAATTCAAGTCTGGAATTCAGCCTGTAAAATGAAGTATACAGTTCTGACATATGTGTGCTTTTGCTATGAAAACAGCAACTTCATTTAATACAGTAATTACAGTAATAAACCACGGTTCGGTGCTTTTTTTGAGTCATTTTCGATCAATACTTTGCACATTTGCGTTTCAATCCGGACAGAAGCGTCGTTGTTTAAATGGCATTCCATCTATGTGAAATATGTGCAGCGCTCTTCCACGTAAACAAGCTCAAACCCCGCGTACATGCACCCATGTCGCCCTCTGTTGGATATACTTAGTATTTCGCACTGTGGCCCAACGATTCTTTTCTTAATGCAAGACTGAATATGTCCAGTTTAATACAACATATAATTATTACTAATTATTATTATTACTATTATAAGTCTGCGTGAATACAATTGAGCATTCATCCGATTAGCTTTAAATTAACAACCCTCAATGCACGTATTTAATATTTTAAATTATTTCATTATTTTCATATTTCAGTGAAACACTCAAAAGAAAGTGTTATAGCACTTGCATTGTCTTTTATCATCTTCAGTAACATTTTATTGAATTTATTTAGTGCTGCCACAGATTTAATAGTATAGAGGAAGAAATATTTAATCTATAGGATTTAAACTCTGATTTGCATTGCAATTTATATATTTCATTACTGTGACATCCACCGCAGCCACGGAATCCACATCATTTTCTGAGATTCTAAGAATGCTGTTCCAGCAGTTAAATGACATGTATTAATTATTAATAGTTTCCAAATCTTTGCCTTCTGTTTTTTATCTCCATAACTGACAATAAACGATACAAAAAATCTATCAAAAATAATTCCATTTGAAGCATTAAATGTGAAGATAACCATTTAAATCCTTCCAACCTTAGTAAGCTCTTATCCAGGGTCACTGAGGGCTTTGAGCCCCTCCCAGGCGGCGCAGGACCCAAGGCTGCGGACGACTTGGATCGAATGCCAGTCCACTGCAGGGCACAAGTAAACAACAGACAATTCAGAGACGCAAGTAAAGTGCATGTCTGCAGGAGGGACCCAGAGGGCCTAGAGGAATTCCATAAAAACATAGGAATAACATCCAAAACTCCATATACCGCCAGAAAAAAGGGTACAGCCCTGGCACAGTTTGGTACCCCAAGGTACAAACAACATTAATGTACCCCCCAATGCTCCTCAGCGTCCATTCCTGTACCTTAAATTAGACTAAAAGGTACATTAACCTACAGCTTGAATACAACTGGCAGACCATTGAGGGTACAGGCCCAGTAACAAGTAATTGTACCCTCAAAAGTACAAATTGGTACTTTTTTCTAACAGTATACACACTCCTGGAATATAACTTCAAACATAACTCCAGACTCTGGAGATGTGAAGGTACAGTGATCACAGCACCCCAATAGGCCATTTTAATAAACTCATCCACCTGAACTGAAAAATACTAACATATACCAATATAAACTAATTTTTTTGACGCCGTTATGCTTTTTTATTGTGGCTAACAATAATCTAGGGAGGTGAATAAAATATTACTGAAGGTGTGACTCCGAAAGACAGGTCTTCCCTTTGGCTCCATTCCAACCCAATATGGACGCCACAGGTTCCCCAAGCTGCCACGTTCGCAAAGGTCTGCTCGAATGTCATGTAATTTCTAGAGTTTCCCCATCTAAGATGAGTGGATATGCTGCATATGCTTCGACTGGGCCTTGTTCAAGTTACAACTATAACAGACTGAAACAGTTTAGCCTAAATCTTGGCTAATCTTGATATATATCACAAAATGTCTAAATGGATTCAATACTTCTAAAGGTGTCAAAATGCACATAATTTGCATTACAATGCACATAAATTGAGTTTTAAAATGAATAAACAATGGTAAAATGCTTTGGGACTGGGGAGTCCATTGCTACACTGATCCATAGGCAGTTTGAATTATTAAAGTTAATTAAAACCATGCCAGATTAAAACATAAAAGTTTTACCACATCAGGAAACTGACCTGTTAAGCTGAACCCGCTCACAAGAACATTAGTTGTTCAGGAGACTCGTTTAAAAAAAAACCCAGACAAAACACAGCAGCATGAACAATGCCATTGCGCTTATTTAAACATTTACAAGGTAACCGTCTCAAGTTTAAATATTTATTGCACCTTTAATTATCTAAATGACTCCTGGTCTGACTCCCATATCATTCCTCATTTGTGAGTGAATTTTTGGCTCTTGAAGTCAGCAGATATTTACTGTTATTCTTTGTTCCTTTCATGTTGGGAATGTGCATTTTAAACCAATTACTACCAATTTTATATGATTTAAAGTAGAGATTCAATTCATTCAGACAGACAGATATACACACACCTGAACTCACCCATTGCTGTTTGGTAAACTCCTTATTTGATTTCCAAGCTCCCTTTCCTCCTGACTGTTTTTCTTTGAATGCCTTTGTTTTATTTTTCTGGACCTGGGCCTGCTGAATTTTTCGCCCGTGACAAAGAACTAAAGTTCCTTTGTTTCGTATTTATGAAAAACCAAGTCCTGTTTTTTTCTTTATGGAAAATGCTAACAATTATAGAGAAAAGAAGCAGCAAAAGAGTACTAACCAGCTATGGTTGGTTCTCATCAAACACACATTTTAGAAACGCCAACTAGCATTTCTGTGAACTGTAGAAGGAAACCTACATGACACATACAGGGGGAACATCACACACACACACTCACACACACTTTTTTTACTTTTTTGATTGCATTCACAGATGTTTACTGAGGTTATCCAAATGGGGACCTCAAAAGATGTCCCCAAACGTAGGGAAATGTCAGGTTTTACCGCACTTTGGGGACAATTTGGTCCTCAAATGTGATCTGTGCAAACCTCCCCCCCCTCCCCTCACGCTCACACACACACAGTGCTGGAAACGTGAGGCGAATGCACCATCCATGGAGCTATTGTATCAATTCTCATAATTTGCTCAAATAATACATAAAAAGCTTTTGTTTAATATTTACATAAAAAATTATAAATAAACAGAACCTTAGCAAGCTGAATCATTATTCTTAATGTGATGCATTCTATCTTCGAATAATAATTCACTATGTTCCCATTTTAACCAGCAGAGGGGGTAAACTTCCACCCATCCATCTTCTAACGGGGGACATGACCCTACGCCAGTCAGCATAGGTCATGGATGAGGTACGCCCAAGACAAGATGGGACGCAGCTTATTAATGCTGCGGCTGTCAGTTTACTAATGGGTTAGTTTTAAAGTCATAATTATATATGTCTATGCAACATTTTAAAGCAAACGGCTGTTGTTGGAAATGTTTTGTCAGACTTAACCTGCCTTTCCTAGTGCTGTTTTTGCAGCAAGTAACGTTCTAACTATGTGGTTTCATCAACAAACTCTCTAGCAATAATGTGTATGCGAGAATTTATTTTCACTTATTTCTGTTAGAAGAACACCTCAATTTGTAGGAAAAATTAGCTTTAAGAATACATTTATTGTAAACATATACATTATTAGGCACACCATACTAATACGGTGTTTGACCCCCTTTCGCCTTCAGAACTGCCTTAATTCTACGTGGCATTGATTCAACAAGGTGCTG